AACAAAATCCATCAACTACTGGAAAAGTGTCTTTTAGTACTTATTATAGTTGTTACAATATTTTATTTGTTGTTGTTTCATCTTTTTGATTAAAATGTTTGTATCTTCTTTTCATTGTTCACTGTTTGAACAACTTCTTCTATTAGTCTACCATTTGTGTTATCATTGATGAATGGTTGTTGTGTTTGGTAAATAATAGGCTGATGCCAAATAATATAAGAAGGTTGTGTTCCAGAAAGAATCATGTTATGATTATTTAAAATTGGTATTTGAAGATATTTTGAGCTTTTGAGTGGAAATGATAAAGAACATACAATAAATATGTCAATATTTATATTTAACTTGCAAAAACACGAATTTTAAAAATAAAATTGATTTATGTAAACAAAAATGACTTTTTTAAACAAAAGTGATTAAACACAAATATCTCACTCATGTGGTTTCTTGTGTATAAAGTCGGATTTTAAATTAACTATTGAAAAAATAAACTATACATTTAGTTTTTTAATTATAATTGATAGCTTTTTTCTTTTTGTTTTGAAAAATTATTTTTTTGTTTTATATTAAAATTTTTCACTTTTTAATAATACCATGTCTCTCCAGAATAGGAAAGCTAAAAAAAATAAAATTTGGGATTCCCCTCTGGGGAATCTCGGAGTAATACCAACTAAGCCGATATTGACATGGGAAGAAGTTCACACAACAAAAAGAGAAAATTGATAACCGATGAACAAAAAAATGCAAGTAATCATTCTTTCATTTCAAGAAAAAAATAAACGAAATCGTTGCAGAAGTTTGTTTGCCACAAGTACAGTGAGGGCATAATTAAAAGATATAAAGATATAAACAATGTTACCAACAAAAAGGGAAGAAAAAATCAATTAAACAACGAGTTAGAAAAATATATTACAATTAACACGCGTAAACCCATCACAAACACTTGTTCATTCTTCAACAATTCTGAAAGAAATGGGATATGCAACTCAAGTATCTTTAAGTCACATCGGAACAATACAAATTGAAAATCATATGAAGTATTATCCCCAATAATAACACCTGATTTATCAGAAGACCACAAATTAAACAGAGTTGTTTTGTGATTTGATATTAACAACATTTACAGATTTTAACTTTGTTTTTTTTCTGATGAAACAACAATAAGATAATTAGAAGAAATAAGAGGCATGTGGAGCTTCCATAAAAAAGAATTGACCTCTCGACTTAGAATGTATTCAAAACCAAAATATCCAATGCATATGATGTTGTTTAGTGATTGGGGTAAATTGCAAAATGCTGATAATAAGATGTCCACACTCTATTGATGGTCATGGAAAAGTGTGGTTTTTCTGAAAAAATGAAAAGACTTAAAGGAAAATATATATTTATGCACAATGGTGCACCTTGCCACACATCGAATCTTACATATAAAAAGTTGTCTTCTTCTTTTGATGTATTAAAGTTGTGGCCAGCAAAAAGACCAAACTTAAATCCGATTGAAATGTGTTGGTTTGTTTAACACATCATTTTAATTATCTGGCACAAAGGTCAACACTTAAAAAATGAAATGCGTTGAATCAGAAAGTATAGATGATTATTATAATGAAATAGTTAAAGTTTGAATATCAATAAAAAGGTTTACCTAAACAACTTACAGCCAAATTTATAAACATATTTATTTGTGATGTGAATAAAAACATATTTATTGATGT